GACTAAGTTGTATCATAAGCATTGGTGCATGATGTTTTATTAAAAACATTTTTAGAATTTCATGAGAGTTGTTGATAGGCTTTGAATATCAAATGTACTGTATATTATTAGGTTCTAGGTAGTGAATACTAAGGATATTGGAGATCAGTGGTTATGTGGAAAGAACGTTGTATTCAGTGTGGATGCCATCTTGTCTTGTGAACGAACTCCTTGTCTTCAGAACACAAGCTGAAAACATTTGTGTGTAAATGACCCTTTAAGCACAAAATGGGCCCCTAGTTTTCTGCCTTTCTTTGTCTCTTGATAAAGGAGCACACTACCATTCCTTTTGCAAAAGTAGTTAAGAAATAATATCATTTTGGTCATAGATCACTTGGATGCCTTTCCTCTGCCTGTGTGCCCTATTAGTTCTCACCTCCTGGTTTCCGGGAGAGTTAAAACTTTGGGGCTTTTAGGAAGAAGATCTGGCATGAGCATGTTTTAGAGGCTGGTGCTCCTTCACCCCTCTCAGCATATGTGTTATAGCTTCTACCTTCTGGAGACTGGCTCTAGCCAGGAGAAGATCAAGACTCTCTACCTCCAAAAAGGCCCTTTTGCCAAACTGTAGAGTTTGTGGCTGAGGTGAGAACAGGGCCAGAGGAAGGTTGTGACGCCATAGTTGAAGGAGGAGAGTAGAGGGAGCCTAGTTAGTACCAACCTCTGAGCTGAGATGCCCAAGCTTAGCTTACAGTTGGAAGAATCCAAATAAATTGGAGAGATTGGTGAAAGAAAGAGTAACTTTAAGGACATTTTATAATCTGAGTAAAGGCAAAACTCCATTTATGAGATCCAGTGACTCTGTCGTGGCCGAGTGTAACTGAGAAATACACCACCTGACTTCCTTGCCTTGATATCACCTTTAAGTATAATTAGGTGTAATAAAAAGAGCTCTAATAAGTTCTTAGATTTATCTTTTTAAACTTCTATAAGTTTCTATCCTTATAACTGTTTCTGTCAAGTTCTAGCATTTAAGATTTAAAAAAATAAAACCTTCAGTTTAATATTTTTATTTTTCACTGAATAGATAATATGAATATTCATAGCTTACAAACATTTTTATCGACTCTGTGGGGTTGTGTTTTTTAAAAAAAAACCATATATATATGTATATATATGGTCGACCCTTGATCAACACAGGTTTGAACTATGTGGGCCTACTTATATGTGGATTTTTTCAGTAAATATAGTGTAGTACTGTAAATGTGCTTTCTCATGATTTTCTTAATATTTTCTTTAGCTTACTCTTATATAACATACAAAATATATGTTAATGGACTGTTTATGTTATCACTAACACTTACAGTCAACTATAGGCTATTAGTAGTTAAGTTTTTGGGGAGTCAAAACTTATATATGGATTTTTGACTGTGTGGGGTTGGGACCCTAAACCCTCCCTGCATTGTTCAAGGGTCAACTGTATATTATTTCAGTTACATTATGGTTCATCTAGCATTTTATAGAAGAGCCTGGGAAACTTCTAATACTGGTTCCATGGAAAATATGTTCATCCTACAGATAAACTTTTGAAACTCATCTGCCTATAAATTGAGACTACCTTTTATAATAAGATAGTGCCCCTTGAGGTGATAAAATAAATAATTTTAAAATTATTTGTAGTGTTCTTTTATTCATGCTACGTCTTGTTCTCAACAACAATTGAAAGTTAGTTTAATGTACCCCTACAATGGGGTACATTAAAGGTTCCTTGTTTGGGAATGCCTGGGTGACTCAGTCAGTTAAATGTCCGACTTCGGCTCACGCTATGATCTCATGGCTCGTGAGTTTGAACCCCGTGTTGAGCTCTGCTGACAGCTCAGAGCCTGGAGCCTGCTTTGGATTCTGTGTCTCCTCTCTCTGCTCCTCCCCTGCTCATGCTCTCTCTCTCTTTCTCTTTGTCTTTGTCTCTATCAAAAAGAAATGAACATAAAATTTTTTTTAAAAAAGGTTTTTAATTTGGATAAGGTATGTATAAATGGTGACTGTTCCCCAACACAGTGCAATAAGTGGCTTCAGAATGTCTCATCATACCCTATTCTCTATAGTTTTTTAGCTTTCAGATATTTTTTTGGTGTTAAAGTATTAAGCCCTCAGAAAGCACTGTCATTTAAATAGCCAAGACCAACCTTCTTGCTGTAAAGATTCATGTTAGAAGAAGTCAGGTTTCTTAACTTAGGAAGTGAAGTCTTTTTTGAGTTTTATTAAAAGGCACAGTCACTTTTTGCAGTATTTCTGAAAGTCAGTACTTTATTTTCTTTTATTCTCTTTCTTCATCCCTGTGTAACATACCTGTTTATTTACCTACTTACTTATTTTATTGAGGTACAATTCACATAACAAAAGTAACCATTTTAAAGTGAAAAATTCAGTGGCATTTAGTACATCTACAGCCATGACCTCTATCTAGTTCTGAGACATTTTCATCATCTCAAAATAAACTTCTATACCCATTAAGTAGTTACCCCCATTTCTTTTTGCCCTAGCCTCAGGGCAAAATTTGCTATTTTAAAATTTGATATTGAGAAATTAAAAAGCTAATAAAACTTTTTGAGTTAATTGAGATGTTATAACACAAGATGTAGAATATGTTGTTCTAAATTCAACAGCATGCAGAAATGCATTTAATATGCTGACAGTGGAGAAATTAGTTTATAAAGTTGTATGTGCTGTGTGTATATTTCCAACTATAAGGAGGAAAAAGGAATACTTCGTAGAAAACACACCAAAGTGATAGTGATATTACTCTAGATTTTTTTCTCATTTAAAAGAGGAAAAAAAGTTTCCATAATTAAAATGAAAACAAACTCTAGATAGTTAAAAACTTGGGCCTAAACTTACTGTTGTAACATAATTACTTATTTCAGGTTAATACTAAACTTCAGCAGCTCCCCCCACCCCCGATTGAGTTATGTGTTTCTTAGTATTTAATAAGAGAAAAAGATTTGCTGGAGGAACAAAGTTATAGTATTCATGGTTTTTCAGTCCTCCAGTTATATCTCAAACCATGAATACCTGTTTTGAGTAAGCTGTGTTCTAATTTATTTTCCTTTAAAAAATATATACTTTAGAACTTTCTTTTCAAACTATAAAAACATCATATTCCTGTTGATATAAATCAAATACCATGGGGGTGTACAAATGAAAAGCTAACAGTCTCCCCTCAAATATAGTCTTCTCATGTACCTGCCTATAATAATTGCTGTTAGTAGTTTGGCTAGAATTCTTCATGGCCTTTTGGTCATGTGGCTTACATGCCACGTATAATAAAATTGGACCCAATCAAGTAAAAACCTCAAATGCCTTCAGGATGGCCCTGGCAGTTACTGTAAAGGTGTGAATGCATTAAGGAAAGGTAGGAACCTTGCCTGCTGGAAGGAAATTTTACCACACAAAGCTTTCATATTCAAGAAAGGTTAGAGCCCTGTGCTGGCCAGACAAGCAGAATCCCTTGGGCAGTGTATCACTGTGCTTTCCTATTCCTTGCCCACCTCTTCCCTCCCATACAAATATAGAATGAATGTATGTCAGAGATTTATTTAACTCATTAATGAAGGAAACAGCAGGTGATAAAGCTGATTTTAAGAGCATTTGAGGAATTGAGTGCATGTAGATGTTGAAGAAAGAACATTGAAATAAATTGTTAAACTTGATGTAAAATTGGTTAATGTCCTATATAGTAGTAAAACCATTACTTTTGGAGTGTGCTGGACAGATACATCTCAAAAATCTACCTGTTTACCTCTAACTTCATAGAATTTGGGTCCTAATCAACAATAAACAGTAGTCAAACAGTAGTACTATAATTAAAATCTTTGGGAGGACCTCTTAATGCTTCATTACATGTTGAAAAGGCCAGTGGTTCTTGATTAACCTCATTTCAAGTTTTGGTCAGTTTTTCTTACCAGCCAGAAAGGCCTGTTGTAATGTGTAAGGCAAGAATAGTACAGTAAGGACCAGGATTTGGAGGAGCTTAAACTAGGAAATTTGAACTTTCAACAGATGTTTATTGAGTACACACTGTGTGCCAGGCAATGGATTTATTATACTCCTGAGTGTGTGGTTGTGCCATGATGCCCCTCCCATACCCCTAGGAGGTGGACTTATGGTTCTCAAGGGGTTGTATTACAGAGTCACCTGAGAAGCTACTTTTCTCAAAATACACGTGTTCTTTGTCCTCTTTCCCCACCCCAATGTAGATATCTTTGCCTGAGTAAAACATAGGAGTTTTGAAATAGCTTTGCACGTGATTTTTGTGTCTCTTCTTTTTGAAAATCATTGTTATGTTTATTGGGCTTTTTTTTTAATTGAATAGGTAAACAGTAGGCAAAATTATAAGCAGTATTTTAAAAGTTTTCATCCTTTTCTTGCCTGTCCCATCCTTATAATACTTAAACTAAAATAATGTCCTGATTTACCCTCAGCAAGAATTATATGCAGTTGTCCTATTTAGAATTGAATTTCATGCAACCAAGACATACATCTGGGAAGAGCTGGGTTTAGTCTTCCTAATTGTATCTTTAGGCTTTGTCTCTAACTAAGTAAACTGAAAGAATTGTCATTTATATTAGTATATAATCTGCCTGGCAAAGACATGTGATTAAAAAATTAGACTTAAAAAATGTTTTTAAGAGAAAATAGACTGTCATTAGCTTGTTGGAGACTGGTAAAAGTGAATAAGTAATAAAGGAAAAATGTGTATGTTCTTAACTTGTGATTGAACTGTTTGAGTCAACAATTAAAATGAGCAGCTGCTGTGGACATGCATTTCAGTTCTTTTCAGTGTAACTTTAATTAGGCAGCCATTCTGTGTACATGCACTCACAAAGCAAGGATTTAGGATTTCAGTACACCTAAGCAGCCATGGAATTTATAACTTAATCACAGGATATGCTATTACAGATTAGGGGAGAAACTGGGAAATAACATGATACAATTGGTATATTGTGTATTTTTCTTTTTATTAGTGTGCCGGTCCAACAAAAGCCCCTGGGTCTGTTTGACTTGTTCAAGTGTCCACTGTGGAAGGTAGGTGACATACTTATTACCTCACTACCCTACTTGATTTTTTCAATTTGCCTTTAAGCTTTATGTCAAAGTTTTATTGATTTGGATTATCAACACCATTGCTTAATCATAGTCTGTAATTTCTCTGTATGGCTTCCCTCTCCTAATACAGTCTATTTGCTCAGTGATAAAACTGAGGAAAATCTAGGGGGAAAAACCTTTGTATTGATACTCAGAAGAATTAATTTGATGATCAGATAATCTAGTAATATTTGATTAAAAAGATGACATGAGAGAACTTCAAAATCTTTAAATACAAGTTTACCTTATGGTTGTTTCTTAAACCTTTTAATAGGGTAAATTCAAGCATACACAAAAGTAGAGAGATAATATAATTGAACCCCATTACTTTCATCACCCAATTTCAACAGCTGTCAATACGTTGCCTGTCTTATTTCTTCTATTCCCTATACCATGCCCGGCTTTACTAACTTTTGAATCAAATTCCAGTTATCACATCATTCTTCTGAAAACAAAATAACAAAATGTTTACAGATAAAGAGTTCCCTTTATTACAGATAAAGGAATCCTCTTGAAAATGATCTCACTGTGGAGTTCATTATTAATTGGTGTCTAAGATGTACCAACTGTTTCATTGTTCCATTAATACATTTTTTGTTTTACGAAAAATTCCCACCCCCACCCCCCAATTCTGGTTCAAGCCTAGCTTTTCCTCCCCATTCTTGGCTTCAAAATGATGTTACTTAAATACTTTGATAACTCTTTTCTTCAAACTCAAATACATACCAACCCTTGTGTTCTTTTACCTTGGCAGTAGCTCATTTATTCCTATTGCTCTTTTAACTTAGAAAATCCACTTTGAATTTACTTAGAACGGGAAATCATACTGTCACACAGGTCGAAATATACTTTGTATTTATTAGGACTATTTCCCCATTGTTATTTTTAAATCTTCATTGCATGAAGAAAGCATCTATGTTCAGTTCACTTTTGATTTTTTACATTTTGAGTCGTGGAATTGAGTATTTTTTCCATGTACACTTAAAAGTACGTTTGGAAAATGTTAACTGCATATCTTAATTGTGGCTGTTGTGGTTTTGAAATCTCTAGGATTTGGGGAACCTGAAAATACTTTGTACAGATAACATTTTTTTTAAAAAAAGAAGAAAAGTACAAGCACTTAAATTCTGCACTTGAAGAGACAGATTCCTCTCCTAGATTTTGAGAGGTGAGAATTATAATGCACTAAAATTTATGTAGTTCTGTTCTCCAGTTGTCTCATAGTGCTCTACGACCTAAATCTTGAAGGTCATATGCCAGCAAAAAGACCTAACAAACTCGCAAAAATTGGAGAGATTAATATTCTTAATAGCAAGCAACAAACAATTCTCTTAAGTAGGTTTTGGAAAAACAAAATGAAAAATTTCTAGACTCTGCAGGTAGTCTGTTTCTAATTGCAAGCAGTCTTAAATTTAGAAATTTTACATAGTTTCGGAGAAATATGATTAAATAGATTAAACAGATAATGAGAGTAGCTTGTGTTTGGTTCTTCATTTTACATAGCTGATTGGTTAATTTTCTTTTATGTAATCCTGGGTATTGATTGCCAAGGGTTCTGATTTTCAGTAATTTTAGGCCAGTTGTCTGCAGAAAGTCTTAAATTGAATATTCCTTCAACTAGAAAACATAGTTTGTCAGTAGCATATTTGATTTATGTAATTTAGTTGGCCTTCACGACATCATCCTGTTTATTTTTCAAATTTTTGTGATTGTTAGAAGTCTGTGATATATACATTGATGCTTTTCCTTCTTAGACCAAATTGTCCAGTTAAAATCTAATCTAAATGAGGGAAATACTTGTTTTTTTATGTTATTCATCTTATACGTAACTGTTAACTTCTGAGTGATATATTTGAATATTACCCAAAACATTGCTAATCTTAATGTCAGCAGTAATACACTTCCTACTTTTCAGTGATGTTTTACAGTAACCATTGAAACCTCTAGTACATTGAAAGACTATAGTGTGGTGGCTAAGTGAAGTATATGTACTATGTACAGATGACCAGTTTTCACAGACTTAAAGTAATGCCTTATTATCATCATTCAGTACTGCTTTTTCTTTGATTTGGAAGGTGCTCATTATAAATAGTAGTTGTGTTTCTCGACAGTATAAATTATATAAGCATAGGAAATTGAGGTAATTAGATGTTGAACCTTTATGATGCCTTGGATTTTAAATATTGGGTGTTTCTTGACCTATGCAACGTATGTGCGTAATATGACCACTTTCTAAGCACAGAGGTTAAGTAACTCGTCTAAGTTCACGATGTCTAGCATGTGACAAGGTTACTTTTGAAGCCAGGAAGTCTAGTTTTTGAGCTTATACTCTTAATCATTATTTTATTTTAAAATTGCTTTATACCTTTGTGGACAGAGGACTCATATACACACAAGTTTTGGTTATGTTTACTATGATGAAAAAAACAGGGGAAAAAAAACATCAAAGTTTAAGGTGAGGTTGTAGTGCCTCTGATGCTTCCAGCTTTCCTAGGGTAGAGGCTGGACCTGAAGTTCATCCTCCCTATTTACCCCAACTGTCCTACTTTCCCCAAGGTGAGTGTTGCTCCTAGTATAATTGAGATGCCTCATGACAAAATGTTACTTTAATTCTCTGAGTATGTTTATTTTGGTACCATTTAAACATTTGTTTTGACTGAGTTTTCAATTAGGCCTTGCCTTCTATAAATCGACTACTGTCTAGGGACTGGGAAATTTTGTTTTATAAGGTCTTCACAGTACTGGTCAGTTACAACATAGTACAATATTTAGGCGGAGGTTGAGAGGAATTTGGGTGTACACCATACGCATTATTTCAGTTTCATTCTGCCTTCTGTAATACATTGATTTATTAAATCTGAGTTGGAAAGTATTAGGAGATTTTTATGAATATAGTTGACCTTTGATTGTCTTTGTCCATGTAAAGAAATAAGTTTATGTAGGTTTAAGATGATTTGTACTTTCTGTTGTTTCCAAACAAACGTGTTTCCATATGAGTGGAACTAATTATTTAGGCATTCGAATACAAGATCTGAAGCCATATTGATGAGAAAGAGACAGAAGATGATCTTGTTTCCATATCTAACTTTCACCTTTTATATTAAGCAGCAGTCCAGGCATAACCTATGGTCCTTTGGGAAGTGGTTGAATGATTTAGTTTACAGAGTTCACCTTTGAGAACAACCTGAGTTGGGGGTTAGCAGTCTGAGAAAAGCTTAAAAAAAGAAAAAAGCTACAGCAAAAGCATTAGCAAAGGGGTTGATAAGTGATAATGTCAATGGTACTGAAACTGATTTGCATAGATGATGCTTTTCCTTGCCTCACCCTAATCTGTGTCTAATTAAAAGTTGACTGTCATGTTTGATTGTAAAAAAGCATATTTTAAGCACTCAGCTTAATAAATCACTATCCACTTGAATGCTTTTATAGGACTGAGTACTCTTAAAAGGAGGAATTCTTTCTCATTCTAGTTTGATTATCATCTGATTTTATTGTCATCTGCTACTATTTTAACTTCCACAGTAATATTTGGGTTAAAATGAATTTTTATTTGGTTTTTATAAGGTATGTGAATGGCCATGCAAAAAAACATTATGAAGATGCACAAGTACCCTTAGCTAATCATAAGAAATCAGAAAAGCAAGATAAACCTCAGCACACAGTGTGTATGGATTGCAGTAGCTACAGTACATACTGGTAAGTATTAGTATTTTCTGGAAATGATATTCCTTACTCAGTGTGCAAATGTTGTCTCATTTTCCTTGCTCTCACCTCTTCCCCGTCGATCTCTAAACCAGTGCTGCTGCCATTACCTCCTTTTTGTTCTGTTAGGACTCAGAGGGGATTGGAGCCATTAGGAATGCCTGTCCTTATTCATTCAGTTTTTACTCTGCATTGTTCCCTTCAACTTCTGGGCCTCCTTCTCTTTCCCACCCCCTCTGTTCCTTGTTCATCTCAGTAAACTGCAGGGCAATGAAAAGCATTTGTTTGTGGTTCTTTATAATTCTTTTTCTTGTTTTGTTTTTAATTGAAGAATATTATGATACAAACTTCTGTTAAAAACAAACAAACAAACCAAAAAAACAAAACAAAACAAAACAAAAACCCAAGCGTATCCTTTTACTGTCTGGGTAACATTTTGTTATGTAATCTTAAAAATGTAACTTCTTTTTAAAAAAACTGTTCTGACACTCTCTCTTCTCCCAGCACAGATCCATTCTCTTCTCCTCCTCTGTAGATAAATGTTAAGGATTTCATGTGTAGCCTTTCAGGCTGTGTTTTGTTTTGTTTTGTTTTGTTTTGTTTTGTAAATATCACATCCTTTAAAATATTAGAGTCCCTGTTCTCTCTTTGTAACATAGTATACGTATATGTTTCATATAAATGGCAATGAAAGAAGTATCGATTTTTGTGACTACTTAGAACTAGGTTATTTAGTTTACAGTAACGTTTAACAATTCATATCCATTTGTTATACTCAGAAGGTCACTGTTTTTGCAGTTTTAACTTCAGTGTTAAGCAAATGTTTGTCGTTGACTAGTAAATTATGATGAGTAATTCTTTACTTGTTTTCATCAGTTTACTCTCAGTTCAAAAGGTTTTTGACATTGAAGGGGGGAAAAAAAGCCATTTGAAGGATCCCTTTGGAGATTTTTTTTTTTGGCCATACAGCCCTTGAATGTCACATGAAAGCAGTACTGGGCGCGGATGGGGATTTAAAGTCTAAATACCACTTTTGATTCCCACTCTACTGAAGTTTTGTGCTAATCTTTTCTATATCATCCTTAGTTGGTTATTGTAGAAAAATGTCCATTAAAAGGAGGAAAGAATGGCTTCCCATCCTTAAAATTTTTACAGGTTGAACATTATTAAATTGTGGCTACTGAATAAATATCTTAAGATTTAGTCATTTAGACTACTACTGTTTCGGTGGAAGATGTCCAGACCTGGAAGAGAGAGAAGCTGGAGGTAGATAAAAATAAAAAGTTTCAATAAAAATGAAAATCTTGCCGAGATTTTGACACATGGGCTAGTGCTCAGTTTATTGTTATTTGCTGTTGTAAAACACTGCTTCCTATGAAAGTTAAGCATTAGCCAGGCTTTTAAAGTGTTCTCATTAGTTTTTCCTCTTTTCCTTCAGGACACTTACATACTAGAATGAGGTAGCTACCTAATTGACAGAACCATATTTCTTTAAGACTATTTCTTTTAACATTTTTGAGGCTTGGCATGTGAATGTTGTCCAACTTCAGCCAGGTCACGCTTCAAGGTCCTGCGTGAGTTCACGGTCAAGCCGGGCTTGGGCTGATGGTCTGAAGCCTGGAGCCCATTTTCCTGATTCTGTGTCTCCCTCTCCTGCCCTCCCCCTTCATGCTCTGTCTCTCTCTGTCCCAAAAATAAATAAAAACGTTGGAAAAAAAAATTAAAAAAAAAAAAAAGACTATTTCTTTTAGTGAGTGGAAATTAAGATCATTCTTTAGGTATAATATCACAATCATTGTTGTGAGTCAGATCAATCTATACATACCAGATATTGAAAACACACATTTTTCTTCATTTTCATTTAGCAATGTGCATGAAATGTTAAATGGGGAAGTTTGGAAATACAATTCAATCTCTGTGTGCTATGTAAAAAGTTTTTAGTGGGTTTTCTTGCAGCTGGTAAGATTATGTGGAAACAGTAACTCTTTGAGGAAATTTAAAAAATTATCATAATGGAGTGGAATTAATATTCATAGGTCTATTTAAAAATATGTTGTATACTACAGTGTCTTTATTTGTAAAAATACATTTGAGACTTTATGAATTTTGAAGGAATGCCTTTATTAACCAGAATTGCAATTTGATTTGTTTTATGTTGGTATAATATGCTAAAGTACGTGTGGTTTCATGGCTGAATTGGAATTAAATGGCAGATGTTTAAAAAAAAATTTTTTTTTTAATGTTTTTTACTTTTGAGAGAGAGAGAGACACACGAGCATGAGTTGAGGAGGGGCAGAGAGAGAGAGGGAGACACAGAATCTGAAGCAGGCTCCAGGCTCTGAACTGTCAGCACAGAGCCCAACACAGGGCTTGAACTCACGAACCATGAGATCATGACCTGAGCTGAAGTCGGACACTTAACTGACTGAGCCACCCAGGTGCCCCTTAAATGGCAGATCTTGGGGAATATACACCATGCAGAGCCTTCTTGGCCAATTGCCAGTCTTTTGTGTGAAGTTATACAGAGCTGCAAGTGTATGGACGCTCAGAGCTTCTGAAATGTAGGAAGGGAACTGCATCTGGTCACATTACTGTATCATTTGGGGGTTTAAAAACAAAATGCCAGGGACTCACCCTGTAGCAGGATTACATTGATGCCTTAAAAGAAATCTGTGATAGTTGCAAACTGAGAAAGCTGTACTCTAAATTAAGTTTCCTCATACCTCAGTGTGATTAAGAAATGAAAAAGGATTTCTTCTTTCTGTATGAACGTGTGTGTGTTATTTTCTAGTACACTTCAGTAATTTCACTTCAGTTTATAAATTTTCCTTGCCCATAAGTTTCTTGTGGTTAGACTGAATGATTTGCTTCATTGGTAAAATATTGGTGCATTAGTTTTAACTTTATTATTATTACCGTGGTCAAAATCTTTTTACTTTAGTTAATGTTAAAGCTCCTTTTCCATGTGCTCTGTACTCTAAAGAAGTTGAAACATGCTCTTGAGAAACATGCCATATCTTTATTTCCCCTTTCCAAGAGTCCCTGCCCTGTCTTATCTTTGCATATCCTTCAGTGAAGTTAACCACTGAACTCTCCCCAGTCCCTCCTCCCAGCTTCTATTGTAGCTAGATGTAATCGCTCTTAAACTCATAGTTCTTGGGATACTTGTAATTTCCTGCTGTGCATTAGGTTATTTGTAAATGTCCTTGGTGACTGCAGGAACCATATGTCAGATAATCTCTTCCACACTACTCAGTGTCCGGTGCAGAGAGGGCAGTATATGTTTGAAGGTTTGTATTTTGTTACGTATCTTCCAAAAATGGGGAAGGTTACATCACATCTATAATATCGTGTCCTTTGGTCATTTTGGAGGACTGAATAGCCATGGAAAATCTTTCTCCAAGAAGACCTAAATCATGGCAAGTGTGAGCTATTTTATTTACCTCCCAAGAGGGACACCTTGCTACAGCTCCCTTCACTTCTCACATAAACAGGACATCCGGAAGAAGTTCATATCATCCAAACAGAACAACATAAAATGGGTCACTGTTTCCAAAGAGGGAAAGCGACACCAAAAGGAGTAATTTTGATTTGACACAGACCTACTCATTTAGGAGATCAGTCAGCTAAACTGAGCTTTGAAGTCAAGTGAAGATTTCTATAAAAATGAAAATCTCCCCCAAAATGAAAATCACTCCCACAAGGGCTAGTGTTCACTTTTATTATTTAAGTAATTTATTTTTTTCCTCACACCCCATCTTCTCTCTCCAGTCAGTAAAAATGGAATTGTATGTGGTATACGTTCTTTTATCACAAAGAAACTAAGATTAAAATTAGGAACTTTGATTTCTTATGTAGATATTTGGAGTTAATAGTTTTTAAACACTGAACAAATAGCTTTTGACATCTGACATAGTCTTGCCGATTCCGATCCTTATCAACAGTAACTGAATTTCTGAGGATACAAAAATGTAAAAGGAATATTAAAACTAAGTTACTAGAATTTTTCTTTTCTGGCAGGTAATGTTTTAAGACACTCTTTCACACAAGGAAATATTATGAAATGTTAAGCAATTCATTTGTTTAGAAAAAAGACTTGTATTTCAGATTTTAAACACTTGTAACAAATAGTTTTAACTAAAACTAGTAAAAATAAAGCTCTTATTTGTGGACTTAAATTGATACCGAATTGTTCTCAAAGAAAATTGTGATTGACTATTAAAAAGGGGAACATCTTTTGACTATCTTTATAAACAATTTTAGTACAAATTTTCAGTGATGTAAAGATTAGAGAACAGGAAGAGTTTTGTTTATTTAAAAACAGCATTTTGAAGTTTATTTATTTATTTTAATATGAAATACATTGTCAAATTGGTTTCCATACAACACCCAGTGCTCATCCCAACAGGTGCCCTCCTCAGTACCCCTCACTCACCCTCCCCTCCCTCCCACCCCCCATCAGCCCTCAGATTGTTCTCAGTTTTTAAGAGTCTCTGATGTTTTGGCTCCCTCCCTCTCTAACCTTTTTTTTTTTTTTTCCCTTCCCCTCCCCCATGGTCTTCTATTAAGTTTCTCAGGATCCACATAGGAGTGAAAACATACGGTATCTGTCTTTCTCTTTATGGCTTATTTCAGTTAGCATAACACTCTCCAATTCCATCCATGTTGCTACAAAAGGCCGTATTTCATTCTTTCTCATTGCCGTGTAGTATTCCATTGTGTATGTAATCATTTTGAAGTTCAAAAAGAACTTTTTTAATAGAGGTGTTCTGAAAACATAAAGGGTTCTTTCCTAATAAGCTAGTACTTGTTTGCTTTTAACAAAGGATATAGATTTTCTCTGCAGGTATTGTTCTAATTTTCCAAAATTGGCCTATTTGATGGCAGTACATTAGAATTTAATAAAAGAATTTAAAAATAAGCTTGCTATGTAAATGAGTTCTTTTGAGTTTTAACTTTTCTTGGTTTGAAAAGATGAATCTTCTGTATCCATA